GCACTGGCACACAGCTGGCCGCGGGGCCTTCGCAAGTATGCATTTCCCCCAGTGAGCCTTCTGGCACAGTTGCTGTGCAAGGTCAGGGAGGACGAGGAGCCGGTCCTGCTGGTGGCACCCTATTGGCCTTCCCGGACCTGGTTCCCTGAACTAATGCTCCTCGCGACAGCCCCTCCTTGGCCGATTCCTCTGAGGAAGGATTTACTGACTCAGAGACGGGGCACCCTTTGGCACCCGTGTCTAGACCTCTGAAAACTTCATGTCCGGTCCCGTGCTGCTAACCACGACCCCGTACAACATTGCTTCCGAAACCTCCTTCGTGAAGGTTCGAGCTTCCGTAACGCCCCTGTTCCAAGTAGAACGGGTACGTTTTCCCAGTGTTATCCAGTCTTACTCATTGGGTAGTGCCATAGCAGCAGTAGCTGGTCCTCTTGTGAAGAAGCCCTGGCCTACGCCAAAAAGTAGGTGCGCAGGTGGCTTCCACAGGACACTGGAAGGGGCAGTAGCTGTGGCCCTTTGCTAGGATCTTTTTTTTTTTTCAATTTTCAAAAGGGGAAAATAACAGCAAAATGTTGTTTTATTTTAGTAATGGCACAGATTCATGTTGTTTACTTGATTCTTCCCAGGGTGAGTCGGAGGCCAAAACTAGACAAAACAATGGCCAATGAATTTTTAACAAGTAGACAGTAAAGCAGACCTTATTGACATTTCCCTTGTTTTGTCAGCTTCAAATTTAGTCCAAAGTGTGATTTGCTACTTGCATTAAGATATTAGTATGGAAAAAGTAAAAAATTCCTGTAATTGGCCAAAAATCTTTCCAACATTTGAAAAATGGTTTGTACTGTACCTGCAAGTATGATTCATTCAGCAGCAGACATGAATGTTATATAGGTGGAGGTCACTTCCTGTCAGGGCAGGCACAGGTGGTCTTTGTGCGTAGATATGACACATTTAAGTTGTTTCTGCTGGCGTTTGTTCCTTTGGAAATTATTATTTTTTTGTTTGTGTTTTTAAAGTGTGTTCTGTGTTTCAATTTGAGAACACTGTTGTATAGCTCTGTTCAGTGTTCATTTTGTAATGTTATGAAACAGCTTCTTTCAGCATTCACATAACAAGCACACTGAAGAGAAACCACACAAGAACTCATTCACCTAGTCTTTTTAATTCAAGCTTGAGTGAAATTGATTGGTTAGTTTTGGATCAATACATGGCATTGTAACATGGGACCCACTATGAATGCACTAAGTAAGGAACTAAGTGTCCTTCCTCCTGAAGTATACATCATATTTTTCAAACTCTGTGGACCGTAAGACAATACTGTCTCTAAATGAATCATCCTTGTGGGATACCTACACCTAGTCCATGAATATACCCCTTATTTTTATGCAAAAGGTTTTTGGAGAAGTCAGATTGTGGGATAATCTAAATTCTCTCAGAATTAATTGAACACTAGTTTATTGGTCTCAACTACATTTTCAGTAGTGTAACAGTAGTTGTTTTCAAAGTACTATAGCTTTTCCAGTAACAAGCTAATCTTTTTTAACGAGTAGTGCAAACGTAAAAGTCAGATTCATTCTAATGAAATGGTTCTCTCATGCTGTATATGGAGTGGGAAAGTGGGATACAGTTCTCTCTTCCATACTGTATATCGGGGTTCCTCAAATTTTGCCCTGGAGGGCCAATGCGCTGCAGAGTTTAGCTCCAACTCTGATCAAACTCACCTACCTGTAATTTTCTAATGATCCTGAAGACATTTATTAGCATGCTCAGGTGTGTTTGATTAGGGTTACTAAACTCTGCAGGAAAGTGGATCTCGTGGACCAGATTTGAGGATCCCTGCTGTATGTGGAGTTGGAATGTCTGATTCATTCTAGTTAATCGATTTATTCTTAACAGTTCTCTCTCAAATGTAGAATCTGAAATGAATGGATTAATTCTAGTGGATGGATTCATCTTAAATGGTCCTCGCTGTCATTGCTAAAATCTGATTAAATTAAGTGAAATGGTTCCTAAACGATTCTCTTTCTCACATGTAGAGTTGGAAAGTCTGATTCAGTCTTGTGAATTAGTTCAACTTAATTGTTATCTCTCATATGTAGCGTTGGTAAATCTCATTCATACTCGTACTCAATTTTGTAAATTGGTTGTGTTGAATAAACAGATTAAATTATTCACTAATTTAAATACCTATAGTACTATGTACTGGTTTTGATTTGGGTACATAAATTAGGATGTTTTGTTGTATTTAGTATAAATTTACCTGTTCAAGCTAATTGATTTTTGTGACAGAAAATAAAATCAAAATTTTATTATTAGATTTTTTTTATTTATAAAAACAATGCTCAAAGTAAACCTTCAATGTAGTGAATTAATTTAGTTAATCTCTTACAGTGTAGCTAACTACCTTTTCAACCACTATTTTTACTGTATTTTAACTCATTCAAATAGTGATTACAGTTTCAAAGTACACTTCAAAAGAAATTTTTTGGAAAAAAAGGTTTTTGGAGTGTTTTACAAAAAAATATTATTTCAGTTTTTCTACTTCAAATGTTAATGTTTAATTCAATGTGTTAATTGCATAAAAGTTTGTGTTAATAATGTCTTTGTAACTGTAAATATTCAAGCAATTTCTGAGTGAAAATTGTTTCTACACTACTTTTTTTCAGTGTAGCTTCCTCAACACAAATCCTATGACCCGGAAAATGTTTTTCTCCTCCAAGCATCTCAATAATTCATTGTTCATGTTTGTATACAGCATAGATCAAAACAATTCGCTCAGTAAGCCACAGTCCTCTGTCGGGTCTCTTTGTGTATTGATCGTATGCAGAGTTTTGCATTCAGTGGGACATTGTGCATTGAGAAGGGCCAAGAAACACCTCAGTGAGAGGGATGACGTGGCCCGTATTTCTCTACTTAAGTTCAGAAAGTTGTTTGACTTTAATTGTGTGGACACACTCCAGGACGCCAGCTATCGGGGTTCACTGCAGTTAAAGTCGAGAGTGTAATAAACAGATGCAGCTTCTAAATAGAGCAGCCAGTGTGTGTATCTTGAGGTGAATGACCTTTAAATTTCTCACACAGGTAACCTCTCAAAGACCTGCACTGCTGATGGCTGGACCGAGATGGACCCAATGGAAATCGCAGTGCATTGTGGCTATAACCTGAATGGCACTGTTGACGATGTAAGTACAAAGTACACTATAAAAATGAGCGTACCTGTAATTTTAATGGTAAAAGACTGTAAAATGCTACTGTGACAACCTGTTATTTGGTTAAAGGGGTCATATGATGTTGCTAAAAAGAACATTATTTTGTGTATTTTGTGTAATGAAATGTGTTTATGCGGTTTAAGGTTTAAAAAACACATTATTTTCCACATACTGTATACATTATTGTTTCTCCTCTATGCCCCGCCTTTCTGAAACGCGTCGATTTTTACAAAGCTCATCTGTCCGAAAAGCGAAGTGTGCTGTGATTGGCCAGCTATCCAGTGCATTATGATTGGCCGAATACCTCAAGCGTGTGACGGAAATGTTACGTCCCTTACCATATTGTGATGATGCCCTGTCCGGCCGGAGCAATCTGGACACATCCGAATATTTGGGTTGACGTGTTCTGGAACAGTGTTGTAAATACAACTTAACCACTGATTTCTAGTCGTGTCCATTTTTGGAAGGCCAAACAAAGTAGTTTCGCTTTCACAACAAAACACAGCGTCACACATGGCGGCCTAGAGTGAGCGGCGGCGGCGGTGGCGGCCTAGAGTGAGTAGAGGCCGGTGGGCTTGAGAACGGCGCGGCCGGCAGATTCGACGAAGGAGTGTCCGGCGGGCTTGCGGCAACCACATGTGACGACCCCAGGCTGGATTCCGCTTCGTCCACGGTGAAAGCCGATCCGGTGATCCACAGCGACAACAAAGTTGTTGTATTTCCTCAGCAACCAGCACGGATCAGCTCTAGGCTCTAGGCATGACGAAGCGATATCGTCCTCTTTTGGAAAGCCAAACAAAGTAGTTTCGCTTTCACAACGAATCACACAGCGCCTTCACGACATGGCGGCGGCGGCAACAATACTACAGTGAGAATAAAAGTTACACCTTCTTTCTTTGCATGAACATTTGGGCGGCGTTATGCAAATATTCCCACATCGTGACGTAGATATGTGGGGGCGTGTTAGAACGAGCCGTTTTAGGTAGGCGTGGCTGACTCTTAACTTTTATAAAGAATATCTCTTTGGATTTGAGACTTTAGTCTTTGCAACTTTACAGATCTTCTTTATGCACCAAGAGCTTGTAACACTCCAAAGAGAAAGGAAAAATTGAAATCGCATCATATGACCCCTTTAAGAGTTCCTTCACTATAGTGTAATAAATCATTTTGATTGGACATTTCATACTGTTAAATTTTGTGAAAAAGATCAAGTCATCTTATAATTTACAGTGAAAACCATGAATTGACATTCCCAGAATCCTTTGTGACCCTTCACATATGAAATATCATTAGGGTTTTATGTTACATCTTATGTTGTTAAATTAATGTTCATTGTGTAATTTTAGTGTCACATGTGTTACCATGATGGTGTTTTATATTTATGTTTATGACAACAAGCACCTTCTATATATTAGTATTTGCCTCAGATTGTGAAAAATCTACTTGTGATTCTACATATGGTTTTCTCATTACGACCTGTGTTTTTGGTGGTTATTAAAAAGGTATTTATAATAATGTTCTATTTATAATAACTTTATTTATAAAGGTATTATAAAAGTACAAAGCAGATTTTAGTACTTCAATATGTTGGTATATTAACATTATATCAGTTAACAAAATGCAGGTTTTTACTGTGTTTTTTACAGTGTACTTTACCATCTCTAAGGTGGTTGAGAGAGCATCATACATGCAAAATATCTTAGTAAAGTTACGTCAAACTAGTGTTTTCAACTCCACTGGCATTATACAACACTGAAATGCTCAGACTCTTGACGTATTGAACTTTTAGCTTTTAACAGAAAGCGATCGTTCTCATGTCATATTGAGTGTTCCTCACCCAAAAAACCCAAGTTTTAACGTTCAGCCTTTTTCAGTCAACCTTTTAGCCTCCTTTTCCAGCCAGCCTTTTATTGCCTAGTGCAAAGTAACAAGTCCAAACCTAATAGTTCCTTTATTTAGCATTGCAAGTCATGTCAGGCTTTGGATACATTTGTAAACATACTAATAATCCATCACTGAAGCAGGTATTATATAACATGAAACACCTTGATCTTTTGAGCAGAGTGTAGTTAAGTGAACCCCTTAAGTGAAGTATGACCTTTGCCCTTTGATGATAGCTTTCCTAGCATGTGTTCACATCAACAGGATGGGTAATCAGCACGCACGGTCTTCAGACCCACTGGGAATATGTGGGCATGGGACTTAAAAGGAATTTTATGTTTTTGTTTATTCAAGTGTGATGCTCCTTGTTGCCATGTTCAGGTTTTTATATTCAACTTCGGTCAAAGACTATAGAGGGGGTTATTTAAATATGCTCTACACAGGTGAGTCTTTTAGCAAAGCTTTGCATGGGAGAGACAGCACAGTACTCATTCTTGCCACAAAAAAGAAACATCCTTTTCAGGATCCCAGAAATGGACAAAAAAGTCAGTGCATTGAGTCATCGTTAGATACCGTGGTTGTTTTGTTTTTGAGCTGTAGTGTTTATGGAGGTTGTAAATGCATGTTTTAACCCCACTGTCATCATACGTACTAAGAGCAGTATGCTGTTAAAAAATCATGTAGATTTACACATAAAGCAAAATAATTTCGATTTCTTGCTTTTAATAGAATGGTTTGCTATAAACCATGTTTAATGATGTTTAAAAAACATGATACCATAACCGATCACACTGTATAAAAGTATGGAGTCTGTACAAATGTTTATGTTTTAGTAAGAAGTCTTCTGTGCTCACCAAGGCTGCATTTATTTGATCAAAAATACAGTAAAAACATGATCCTTCAGAGATTATTCTAATATGCTGATTTGCTGCTAAAGAAACATTTAGAATAGAAACAGGATTTATTTAAAATATTTAATCTTTTGTAACATTGTATATGTCTTTTCAATGTAATGTGTCCTTGCGCAATAAAAAAGATTAATTTCTTCTTTCAAACAAAAAAAATCTTGACCTCAAACCAACAGTAGTGTAATTTGAAGATTCAAAAAGATTTAAAATCTTCTGCGCTATTTGAACTAGTTAACTGTATTCTTTCTTTTCTTTTGCAGGATAGTTTCTTTAGGTCGGTGAAGATCGGCTACACCATCGGGCACAGTGTTTCTCTCATTTCTCTCACCACTGCCATTGTAATACTTTGTATATCCAGGTAAGAAATTCTACATTTGTTGAAACTGATGCTAACATTTGCTGTTGCAGGGGTGAATTATGTTCTTTTGCAAAAATAGTTTTGCATTTCTCTAGACGTGTCATGTTTATGCTGTCATACTTACTTTAACTAGTTTTAAAGCCCTATCCAAGGCAATTATTTCTAAGGAAAATTACTTCCTGCCTAACTGACAGTTCTTTAAAATGAACTGAGGGTGAAGCATAATTACATCTGCTTATTTTTATACAAATCAAATGCATGCGGTCGAAGAACAGGGTACAAATACAAGGTACAAGTGCTTGAAACTCTCTCTCGCTCTATTATTCTTTTTTTTAAATAGTGAGATTTAAATGTATAGTGTGGAACACAGTTGTGGCTATTAAAATGTAGAATTTTAAAATATTACTATTTTAAATATATATTTTAAAATATTAATTTAAAATGTTTATTAGAATTCATTTGAATGTTCCTAGACAAAAAAATACTATTTTACTACACACACACACAAAAATAATTTTTTTGCCTTTTATAAATGTTTTTTGCTGTCAAATACTGGGCACAGTTTGAGTCCTACTAATGTTTCACATTGAAGAATGTCATTTTGATTAAGCTAATGGTTAGCAGGCCTTAAACACAGAAAACAGTGCTTCATGCGTGATTGTAGCCAACCCCAGATTCACCATGAGGCGTCATGGAGCGAGTCACTGAATCGCTGAAGCTGTCGAGGATTAAACAGCAAACAACATGCGTTTTGACACTACAGTGATTGATCTAGCTCACCAGAGGCAAAACGGTCTTCTAATGACAGAGATAAGAGCTTTCTTACATGTATATTCCAACTCACACATTTAATCCTGGCCAAACAAGACTCAGAGAATCATTCCAGTGTGCATTAGTGCTCACATATAAACCCAGTAGTGATACTTTGAACCATAAACACGGTTTAAAACCCTTTAAATGGCACCAAGTTAGCATTCTGATGATTTAGGCAATATAATTTATGTATGTATTAAACACTGCATACATTTGTGGATCAGACTATGTATGATGCTCTTCTGGTGGATGATTCATTTTTGACATGACACATTCCTGTGACCTGCTCATTATAGTAACTGCTATGGATGTAGCTTACTCATAATCACACATAATAATTGCAACATTAGTAGGGTAAGATGAGGTAAGATACCCCTGGACCAAAATGACCCCCCACCAGTTTTTTATCTTGACCATAGAGGGCACAAAATCTCGTTTCATTACTTTTGATGAATGGCTACGCTGAACATTTTGAGATTTAGTCAGTCGAAACAGTTTTGAGGTTAACTGATCTAATTTTGTGTCTCTGTTAAATATGACATTGTATTATGTTGAATATCAGAGTTTGTGTGTGTGTGTGTGTGTGTGTGTGTGTGTGTGTGTTTGTTAAAGAGGGATTTGTGGACACATCAATGTGTCTTTAGATCTGTTGAGTAAAAATTATAGGTAACACTTTATTTTAAGGTGTCCTTGTTACACATGTTACATGTACTTACTATTATAACAACAATTAATTATGCATAATTACATGCAAGTAACCCTAAGCCATACCCTAATCCTAACCCTAACCATATAGTATGTACATGTAGTTAATTAATATTACACAGTACTTAAATGTTTAATTATGCTGTAACAAGGACACCTTAAGATAAAGTTTAACCAAATTATATTTTTTATTTTGAAGTAAAAAGATCAAATTAGATCCTTGTGGTAAGATGGTCACCCAGAAATGGCACAAAATATTTTTACATTTTATTTCATGACAAATAAATTAGCAAATGTTTCTATTTATTTCCTATAATAACACACTGGCTGATGCATCATCATCCTGCACATGTTATCTTATATCTAAATATGTTACAATTTAAAAGTAAATGCACATTGGTATCTTCCCTCATCTTACCCTGCAGTATCTGACTGATTTACCAAACGTATAAGAGGGTGACCTATAAAAGTGCATACGTTTTGCTGTAGACTTGCACAGCATCAATCCTCCCTGGAGCATGCTGGGGTTAAGTGCTTTGCTCAAGGGCACAAATGTGATAGTTCACGGCTCACTCCTTCTGATTACCAACTCTAAGCTCAATCACCTCCTCAAATGCTGTCATTTGCATCAGTAATAAGGTTGATGTGTGTCACCACCAGTATGGCAGAGCAGCACTACTCATCGATAAAGCTGCTCATGTTCAGCTCTCCAGCAATGTAATCAGTCCTAATCCTGTCTGTTAACACTATCTGCACTCGAGCTGCAGGCTTAAGTAGTCTTAACTGAGAGGATATCAGTCTGATGTGGGATTTCAGTGACTGACAGGGACTGAAGACCTGATCACACCTCAGGTTATTATTATTGCAGGTTTGAACACTTGCTCCCACTCTATTGAATGACTCAGGTCACAAGTTGTCTTTGCTTGGTGAAAACAGTCTGCGGTCTAATTAAATTGTACCTTCACCAAGAATTCAATTCAGTTCAAATTTATTTGTATAGTGCTTTTCAAAATACACATTGTTTCAAAGCAGCTTTATAGAAAATGCATGTGTCTACATTATAAAGCAGAAGTGAATGTGTCCAAGTAATGTTCATTTCACAAATGAACACAAAAGTGTCCAAATCTGTCAGAGGTATGTCAAGGTGATCCTGCAGATGGCCACGCACTAGAGATGCAACATAGGCCTGTAAGATCATGCTGATAGTGTCAGATCACAGCATGTAAAATGAGCAAACCAGAAATGACATACCTGTGCATGAGTGCTAGGTTAAAGGAAACACAGGGATTTGACCTTTAACTCAAAAAAATGTAACGCTATAGTCAGTTAGGGAAAACTGCAATGTTATGCAATTAAAATGGTAACTTATATAAAACTTCAAAAGCTGTATTTTAATAAAAACCTATTTGTAAATGGGTTCATTTCAAATTTAAGCTTTATAGAAAGCATCTGTGACATGCTGTTGAATAATTAAGACTCAGCAAGCAAAAATCTACAGTAATGCACTTACAAACAAAATCTGCGGGGTAATTTGTTTAAACAATGATGGAAATTCTTTTTCTTGCGTTGTGTTTTGAATATGGAAAAAACAGTATGCTCAAAACAATGCTGGAAATATAACCACTGGTAATGCCGTCAATGCAACATTTTTATTATTATTTATATACTATTATAGTTTGTATTAATAGTTTTAATTAGATGTTATTTTTATATTTTAGGTTTTTATCTGAATTTAATTATATATTATGTTCTTTTGACATTTTTACTAGTTTTTAAAAACTAGTTTTAGTTTCAGCTTAAACTTTTGCCAAGGAAACATTTTACATCTAATTTTTATATTTATTTTGATTAACAAAAAATGTTTCCTTTATAGTTTTAGTATTATTTTTTGTTAAAGATAACACCGCTTCAATTACTCTTTCACATTTTTTTCCTAATGTTTAATTCAGGGTTATTATCCATATACAGTGGATCTCTTCAAATATCCAAACCAGGAGTTGTAGAAGTTAGATTTTGCCGGCTGTAATGTATAATATTGTAAGTCCATTTCAGCAGGCTTTTGCCACAGTATCAAAACAAATGGATTTCTGAAGTAATGAAGTAACTTTTCCACACATTGTTTAGAATTCATCTTACTGGCCACATAAATATATAGTTTAGCCATGAAACTCTAGATGGCGCAGGCTGATGTTTTGTTAACATAACTGATGATATTCAGAGAATTAAACGACTTGGCACAAGCTGATTGGTTCATGCTGCATTTGCAGCCAATGAGCTTACTGCCTTGCATTTATATGTCTGGCTAGCATTCACTAGAGATTCCTGTAGCGCACTTTCAGAGTTTCTCTGAAACCCTCCACCTTCCCTAGCTCCACCTGTATAAATCTGCTACGGGTTATTTTATATGCTATTTGTGCAGCAGCAGTATGTCTTAAATACTCACGGCACCGTATCGCTGTATGCATTGGCAGTAGCAAGTTCCTATACTTGCTTGCAGCAGCAGCAATAATCTACAACTACAGCAATAACCAACAGCAGCAGCAGCATCGTAGCAGATCTATTCCACCAAGACCAAATACATTAACTCATATCCATCACCATGCTAAATTATTCCAAGAGTTGTCATGATTAAACTATAACAAAGCTGATATACATTATTTACTACTTTAAACACAGAAAACAGTGCTTCATGCGTGATTGTAGCCAACCCCAGATTCACCATAGGGCGTCATGGAGCGAGTCACTGAATCACTGAAGCTGTCGAGGATTAAACAGCAAACAACATGCATGCGTTTTGACACAACAGTGATTGATCTAGCTAGTGAAGGACATCACCAAGGAAAGTAGACAAATGAAAATCCAATACTGTAAATCAAAAACCAGACAAAAAAACAAATTCAAAGAAACTCAATATGAACGGACTCTTTAAGTTAAGCCAAGTCAAATCTCCTTTATTTGTATAGCGCTTTATACAATACAGATTGTGCCAAAGCAGCTTTACAGAGTCAAACAGGAAAATAGTTTGTCAATAATGCAAGAGGACAGTAACAAACAGTCATTTTTCAAGTTAAAGTCAGTTCATTGATTCAGTGATGTCATCATCCAGTTCAGCTCTCTTTCAGTAATGGCTTTAGTAATGCAATTGGTAGACAAAAGAAAGACTTCATAATAAGCCATTGAAAAACATGTTTACTGTAACTCTTAATTGATATCAGGTCTTCATTACATGCATTCATTGTGCCAGAATGTAAACCTTGTGGTGAGATATGTGATAGCATATGTAACAAAAGTGTCATGATTTTCATAAAGAGGAACTGGCTTCTGGGTTAATATAATCTTGCATGTAAAGACAAAATGCAAAACCATCATGTATTTAACTTTGTTAAAGTTGAGACGTACACTTCTATTTAAAATACTGGGGTCAGTAAGATCTTTTTTAAAGAAATTAATATCATAGATGCTTTAAATTGATCAAAAGTAACAGTAAACACTGTTGTAACAAAAAAAAAAAAAAGTTAATTCAAATAAAATCTGTTCGGTTGAACTTTCTGTTTATCAAAGAATCCTGAAGAAATGCATCACGGTTTCCACAAGTGCTGAACAACTGTTTTCAACATTGATAATAATAAGAAATGTTTCTTGAACTGCAAATCAGCATATTAGAATGATTTCTGAAGGATCATGTGACATTGAAGACTGGAGTAATGATGCTGAAAATTCAGCTTTCCATCACAGGAATAAATTATATTAATAAATAACATAAAATATATTCAAATAGAAAACAGTTCTTCTAAATTGTAATGATATTTTGCAGCATTGTTTTACTGTATTTTTAATCAAATAAATGCAGCCTTCTGCATTTGAAAGAGACTTTTTTTTCCAAAATATTAAAAGTTCTTAAAGACCCCAAACGTTTGAATGCCATAAAGTCATAATTGTATTTCTTTTAGACTCATAAGTGGCTAAATGGGATTTATTTAGATTATTCCAATAAGGCAAGAAGCCTTACAAAGTGCTGCAAAAATGCAGTCCCAACAACACATTATCTGTATTGTCTTGTTGTAAACTAACAATCCCTACAGCATGGCAACTTTCTAGGGTATTTGAGAGAAATTTAAATCTTTTCCTTTCACCAGAGCGCAACGCAAAACCAGTGTTTAAACAAAGTGTCAGCTGATTTACTAGTGTGAGGTATGGACATTATAAACAAAAGACAATGTTCAGGGTGTTCTGGGATATCAGAGTCTCTCTCTCTGTTTTTAAAAACACCTGCGTTTTGGATAAAGCAGCTCTGGATGTGTTCTCAAAAGAACAGTTCACCCATTAAATGAAAATTATGCCATTATGCACGCACTCTCATGTTGCTCCCAATCCTGCATGACTTTCTTTTTTTCCACATGATAGATGCAGTGTGTATCAGTCAGTATTTGACTGCCTGCCATAGCTTGATAATATTAAATGAGCATTTAGGATATTAAATAAGCAGGTACCTTGAATTTTAAATCAGATTTTATGAATTCCCATGAATTACTGTGAGTAGAAATGTGTGTGGAATGGACTACAACACAATGCAACAAATAATCTGTTGAACAAACCCCTTACACGGACCAGAAAGCTCAATTAGGATTTCATTTGTAGTGTAATTAGCTGTCATTTTTTCCGTTATTAGTTCCAAGGACAGGGTGTAATTAGTGGGAAGGGGACTTCTCAATCAGGCTTAACGTATTTTAGATTCAGTCCGTGAGCGTGGCTGATTGTATTCCTTGTATTCCCCCAGGAAGCTCCACTGCACGCGGAACTACATCCACATGCACCTGTTTGTGTCCTTCATTCTGAAAGCCATCGCAGTCTTCGTCAAAGATGCGGTGCTCTACGATGTTTTTCAAGAGTCTGACAACTGCTCCACTGACTCTGTAAGTTCATTATTGCACAATCTATTTCTTTATTTTCTTTAAGTCCCCCAGGAGTCTGTAATAGTTTCAGTTAGCAAACCATGTGACATCCACACACAGCAAACCAAGTATTTATCTAGCAATGTTAGTAAATATAGTCTATCCCAGCTGATCACGTTTACATTTTTTCTTACTCACTGGTCTTGGGCCTCTCGACTGTTATGTCTGCTGCTAAACATCCATGAGCATAATTTCACACTTGCTGCTGAATTGACTGCTGTGGGTGACCTCTGTTTGAACCAGCTTGCCAAAATGCTTGTTCCAGTCATTCTGGATGGCATGTACTCCCACTGTTATTGTTTTAGCCCCTTAAGCTAACTCAATTTCACAGATTTTTCTTTCACAACATTGCAAAAAAAAAAATCACAAGAAGTGATGTGAATTTGGGTCATTTTTTGACACTGGAGCAACAGGGTATTTTGTTTGTGCTAGTTTTACACAATTGTACTGACAAGTGTATGCTGGTTTACTAGTGTCCCATTACTATGCTGGTTTACTAGTGTCTCTATTAAAATAAGAGGAATCCCTTTCACAGTATTTAGACAGCATCGTCTGACTGCTAGTAATGGTGAAGGACATTTTCTGAGATGATTCAGCTGTTAAGATGACGACTGATTGAACTTGACAAAGGAGCATAAAGCTCTCAATGAAATGCTCATGGGTCTTTATCACAGTATATGGAGTGAGTGTGCTGTAACACATGTCCAGTGTTCAGATCTGGTGTCTCTCAATGTCTGCAGTTTGAGCAGGAATTTTCAATAGATCAAGGCCGTCTGTGGGATCTTCAGAAGTGTAATGTTCTTTCAAACTGAGCTTTTGACTCTTTAGAATTTTAAAGCAAATGGATTTTAAATGCAACTTTTAAAAAAATGATATCAATCTTTAAAATTGACTTTTTACAGGGATTTTTGTTGGTATAAAAAGGTCTGAAACACTGTGGCACAAAGGATGCACATGTCTGAATGTAGACCGTCTAATCGAGTCGTTGTTTTCACAGGTCGTTTGCTGAAAATTTGTCGCTCCAGACTCATATGACTATTTTCTGTAAAACAAAATCAATCTATCTATCCCATTTGACAAAATGGCAAATGAAAATGTATATGAAAGCTTTTTCCACCTTCGAGTAGAAAATGAAGTTTACAGTGAAGAAGTCACATTGTGATAAACCGTAATGCAACTGTTAGAAATTATTCATAGACATGATTTCAAAATAGTCACATTGTGAGATATAAAGTGACAATGTAAAATATATATTTGAAGTCATATTGTGGCTTGAAAGCATTGTAAACCAGGCAAGCAAGATACTGTAATAGTTCCTGCAGAACGCAAGGGCAGTTGAAAGGAAAGCCTTTCATATTGATATGGTTCCATTACATCCTCTCCATGATTCTTTTTAACGGCTCCCACAATGTTTTTTAAGTCTGCGATTTAAAAAAATATATTATAATTTTTTTTATCAGAGACAATCTTCTATCCTCGTGGGATAGAAAATAAAACTTGCTTTATGTATTTATTTGTTTATTTATTTATTTAATTTTGAGACAGTCACAACTGTGAGACATAAAGTCGTGATTACGACATATAAAGTTTAAATTATGGGATATATTAATAATAATAATTAAGTCACAGTTGGAAGATATTAAGGCACAATGTGAGATTTAAAGTCACAATTATGCGAAATAAAGTATATACAAGATAATGTCACATTGAGAGGTATAAAGCCACAGTTATGTGAAATAAAGTTGCGATTACGAGATATAAAAGTCACAGTTGGAAGATATAAAGGCACATTGTGAGATTTAAAGTGATATCTGTGGGCTATAATGTCTAATAAAGTTGTTATTATGACATATACACTCACATTGTGTTATGTATAAAGTCACAAATGAAAGATAAAAAATGAAAGATAAAAAATTGATGAAGCAGATTTTTATTCTGAAGATGAAGCAGGCTTTCATAATAATTTCACAATAATGAGATATAATTTTGTTGTTATTGTTGTTGAAATAAAGTATTGATTAAGAGATGTAAAGTCACAAAAGATATAAAGCTGTCAGTTCAGTTTATTTTTAGATTTGAACCCAGGTCTCCTTTCACTCCTTACAGAGCCTATAGATTACAATTCTTACATTTTCATGAAGAACTACGTAGTTAAAAAGTGCTCCTTAAAAAGTCTTACATCAGTCTCTTTTAAAGACTTAATCTGCATGCAAAATATTACTAATCTCCTGTGGAATCAGTTAATATTCACAGCTAGGTTATGTGTCAAGCTGCCTTATTAACGTTATTCTCACCTTAAAATAAAAGTAGGCTCATGGGAAAAGACAGAATGACTGATTGCCAGAAAACAGCTTTATAAAAAGAATTAGTTGCAGTGGTTTTTATCTATGATGCATAATAAATGCATGATAAAAGGCTGTTGAGAGGTTCGCCTCAGCAGAAGGTGTTTGTTAACCATGTGTGGTCGAACCTGCAGCAAAAGATTTCTATCTATTTCAGGGATTTCGTGCTCTGAGCAAGAGGCTGCGTCTCGCATAGTAATTTGGGATGATTTGTGCGTATTAGAACTATGAGCCAGATCCATTCATCCTGCGCTGCCTCATTTTACATGCCCGAAAGCAGAAAGCATCATTCAGAGCCTTCTGCTGTCTAAACTGTCGATTGCTTCATCCACCCAATTCTTTTCTCCTGCCTGTAAGGCATGCACTCTCATTTTCAGCATGTTGCAGAGAGGAACGGAGTTTAAGATCATGAGAATCTTGAGAATCTTTGATCCTCGGATCATGGAGCTCAAAGAAGTATTTTTAGAAAAACAGAGTTTTTTTCTTATGTGCAAAACTACATACTTTCAAAATCAAGGTGGGTGTCAAAACAACTACTCGACTTGTTAATCTTTAGCAAGTTCTGTACAATTAGGCTCCACCAAACTCTCAACAGGTGATTTTAGGTACCGTTTACCACACAGGATGTGACTATATTTATGTACACAGACTAATTTATAAGGTGTGGTAAAAAAAGATTTTGTAAGTATTTTATTTGTTTATTTATTATTTTAAGATGTACTTAATTTAAGATGTAATTTATTCTTGTGATGCCAAAGCTGAATTTTCAGCACAATCTTCAGTGTCACGTGATCCTTCCGAAATCATTCTAATATGCGGATTTTTCTAATATTTGGAGCTCAAGAAACATTTTTTTTTATCAATGTTGAAAGCATATGCAATGCTTAATATTTTTGGAAACCATGATATATATTTTTTCAGGATGCTTTGATGAATAGAATGTTAGTAATATTTGAAATATTTTTAACATTAGAAATGTCTTTAAAGGGGTCATATGATGCGATTTCAATTTTTCCTTTCTCTTTGGAGTGTTACAAGCTCTTGGTGCATAAAGAAGATCTGTAAAGTTGCAAAGACTAAAGTCTCAAATCCAAAGAGATATTCTTTATAAAAGTTCAGAGTCAGCCACACCTACCTAAAACGGCTCGTTCTAACACTCCCCCACATGTCTACGTCACGATGTGGGAAGATTTGCATAACGCCGCCCAAATGTTCACGCAAAGAAAGAAGGCGTAACTTTTATTCTCGCTGTATTATCGTTGCTGCCGCCGCCATGACGTGAAGACGCTATGTTTAGTTGTGAAAGCGAAACTACTTTGTTTGGTCTTCCAAAAGAGAACGATATCCGCTTCGTCATGCTGATCCGTGCTGGTCGCTGAGGAAATACATCAACTTAGTGCTGTGAATCGCCGGATCGGCTTTCACCATGGACGAAGCGGAGTCCAGCCCGGGGCCGTCACATGTGGTTGCCGCAAGCCCGCCGGCCGCTCCTTCATCGAATCTGCCGGCCGCGCCATTCTCAAGCCCACCGGCCTCCGCTCACTCAAGCCCGCCATGTGTGACGCTGTGTATTTCGTGGTGAAAGCGAAAATACTTTGTTTGGCCTTCCAAAAGAGGACACGACTAGAAATCAGTGGTTAAGTTGTATTTACAACACTGTTCCAGAACAGTTCAACCCAAATATTCAGATGTGTGCAGCACATTTTATGGAGGACTGTTTCCTGATCCTGTGAGAGTAGACTACAATGCCGGCTGTTCTGACTCACAGTCTGTAAGTAGCCTACGTTTTCATATTTAAAGGATTTGCGACTGACGATTCAAACGGGAGTTTTGGGCAGTGTAGAGTAGCGCTTGTTGTTTGTAATTTCTCCGATCACAAATGCAGACATGGTTTTATGTTTACACGGTGCGATGCAATGCGTAAAAAGACAGCATAAGTCATTATAATCCATAGTTATGTCCCCACTAGATGCAACAAATGCCTCGTTTATAATGGGTTTTAATGTTTTTGTCTCGTTGCTCCGGCCGGGACACCTGAATGGAACACAAATGAAAAGCCATAAATTCCTTTACTTTGAACTTCTTAAATATGCGTTATGTATTTAAATTATATATGCATAAATATATTTTAATATACGTGAACTTGCAAATTATATTGCAAATTAATTTATAATTTTTAATTAAATGATTTGACATTTATAAGAAACAGATTACCATTTATGTGTACCGAAGACTTAATGCAAAAGGAAATTTAAAGTAAAAATATTTGTTTTTCATCTGAATATCAGCCTGGAGCATGCCTTCATTCATAATAATTACATTTTATTGATACAAACTGGAAATCTGCCCTAAATTTAATTTTTATTGAAATTAAAATATATAACTTTCACTGTCAATGTTTTTTTTCTTTCTTTTTGTGATGACGGGGGCTAAGATGATGTCATCACCATCGCAATAGTGGGAGGAGTGTGTAAAATCTTTTTTAAAAAGCCATTGATGGTCCTGTGTTTCTTTGTTGGTATTTATGGTTTTGTTGACTTTGGTGCAGTTTATTAGGATACATTTCCATTATGTTTAATCCAGCACATTATCCTCTAATATTCATTTAGAATACAGGCAGTTTAAGATATTATATTTGTGTTGATTCCTGACAGTTGCAAAAAAAAAAAAAAGTAATGTTCACACACTGAAAATTATAAATGTTTATCAAAAAGTAATCGTTATCCATTTTTTAAATTATAATATTGATCTTGGAATATCGCTAAAGTAGTGTGGTGTTAAAATATTTGCTAATTAAGGCTATTATCAGCCACAATTTGCACCATCCCTTTTACATACTGCAAACAGTAAACCAAAACTGAAATAGTTTGCTGTATCTGCTTTTTTCCAATTTCATATTATTTCACAAAGCACTCGATGGTAGTACATAATATATGTATGATGTAGTTAGTTAATTGGAAACTACTGAATGAAGAGTTGATTTCTTTAGAACGACATATCTGAAATGATCATTGTTGCGGCTATATTCAAAACGTTTTTCATGTTTGTGGAAAACATTTGCATACAGTAGTCGCACTGCAGTATTTTACAATTTGTTATCACCGTGATAAATGTCAGGATGTCCTTACTCCTCAGAGCACTCAAGGGTGGGAATGACTTCTCAAAGCTATTTTCATTTTCTCTGTCTCTGATTTTCAGGTTGGCTGCAAAGCTGTGATTGTCTTTTTCCAGTATTGCATTATGGCAAGCTTCTTCTGGCTGCTAGTGGAAGGTCTGTATCTTCATGCTCTATTGGCCGTCTCCTTCTTCTCAGAGAGGAAGTACTTCTGGTGGTACATTCTGATTGGTTGGGGTAGGTGTCATAGTATTTATGTGCATCTGGATTCTTTATTAACCTTCTTTTGTTAAACTTTGACATAATGATTATGTCAGTGAGTCATGTAAAGAGGTAGCCGCTGATGTATTGACTGAAATACACTCTCATTTCACCTCACTCCAGGAGGCCCAACGATTTTCATCATGGCTTGGAGCTTTGCCAAGGCTTACTTCAATGACGTCGGGTAAGATAAACCTATTAGTCAAAGCCTTCAATGATTTTATGTTAAAATCAAGACATAAATACTTAGTCATCATTGCAAGCAAAAATGTATACATGACATTTATTTGCCATTTTTTCCAGATGCTGGGATATAATTGAAAATTCTGACCTATTCTGGTGGATTATTAAAACCCCAATATTAGCTTCAATTCTGGTGAGATGCCTTTTCACTCCTAAAGTATGATATGTCACCATTATTATGATTAGAGAATGTTGCTATTGTACATTATGATTGCAGTCACTCATGGTCGCCATGGAGATAAGCTTACACTTGGTATGCCTGACTACGTTCCCCTGTCTAACCTGTGAAGAATTTCTGTAATTTTTTTTTTCTTTTTTTTCTGAGAAATGTCTTAGTTATGATGCCATATTGCCATTCCTGGCAATACTTGCAATATTAGGACACGTCTCATCCATCTTCACTGACTGCCAGTGTAAACATTAGGTAGTGGCCTAATGGTTAGAGAGTTGGATTTGGAACACAAAGATCGCAGGTTCAAATCTTGGTACTAGCAGGGATTGTAGGTGGGGAGAGTGAATGTACAGAATGATCCACCCTCAATACCATGACTGAGGTGAGACCCTTGAGCAAGGCACTGAACCTCCAACTGCTCCCTGGGTGCCACAGCAGAAATGGCTGCCCACTGCTCCGGGTGTGTGTTTGCTCATTACTCACTGCTATGTGTGTGCATGGGATAAATACAGAGCACGAATTCAGAGTATGGGACACCAAACTTGGCCACATGTCACTTTTTCTTTTTTTTTCACTTAAAGAAATGGTGTCCATTTACTATACCTAAAATACACTGTGTAAAAGGGACACAGTATATATATATATATATATATATATATACATATATATACACATGGCGCAGCTGATTGGTTTCTTTCACATCAGCAGCCAATGAGCTTGCTGCTCAACATTCAAATACTTGGCTAGTGTTTGCTGTAGCAGTTGCAGCGCGCTACAGAAACCCTCCACCTTCCCCAGCTCCACCTGCATAGATCTGCTATGAGGTGATTTCATGTATGTTATATATGGGGGTTATTTCATATATGTTATATGTGCTGCAGCAGTATTACTTACATGCTCACAGCAGCATGTCTGTGGATGTATTGGCAGTAGCAAGGCTTGGTGCTTGCTCTGCCGCAGCAGCAGCATAGCAGATCCATTCCGCCAAGACCAAACATATTAACACTGCTATGTATATTACCATGCTAAAACTCTCCAAGAGTTGTCATGACAGAAATATTATATATATATATATATAGAGAGAGAGAGAGAGAGAGAGAGAGTGCTTTCTTTTTATTTATTCTTTATATAAATAATATATTTTAAAAAATAAAAATAATATATATTATTTTATATAAAATATATTTTATATTTTTTATATATATATATTTATATTTATACACCTACTGGTAAAAAATGTATAGCCTGAATTATATACATATATATACACATGGCGCAGCTGATTGGTTTCTTTCACATCAGCAGCCAATGAGCTTGCTGCTCAACATTCAAATACTTGGCTAGTGTTTGCTGTAGCAGTTGCAGCGCGCTACAGAAACCCTCCACCTTCCCCAGCTCCACCTGCATAGATCTGCTATGAGGTGATTTCATGTATGTTATATATGGGGGTTATTTCATATATGTTATATGTGCTGCAGCAGTATTACTTACATGCTCACAGCAGCATGTCTGTGGATGTATTGGCAGTAGCAAGGCTTGGTGCTTGCTCTGCCGCAGCAGCAGCATAGCAGATCCATTCCGCCAAGACCAAACATATTAACACTGCTATGTATATTACCATGCTAAAACTCTCCAAGAGTTGTCATGACAGAAATATTATATATATATATATAGAGAGAGAGAGAGAGAGAGAGAGAGAGAGAGAGAGAGAGAGAGCTTTTTTTTTATTTATTCTTTATATAAATAATATATTTTTCAGTAAAAAAATTATATATTGCATTTAATTAATATATATATATATATTTAATAAATATATTTTCATTCTTTAGTATATTTTTACACCTACTGGTAAAAAATGTATAGCCTGAATGCACTGTAAGTCGCTTTGGATAAAAACGTCTGCTAAATGCATAAATTATTAATTATTAATTATTAATTATTATTAAATTATATTTTTCATACTATAGTATATTTAAATTTTATCATTTAATATCTATATTAGTGCTTTCTCTAATGTGTTTGTTTTATTTATTATAATAATTTAAAAAAAAATAGTTTTTTTAGATTGTTATAATATCAATTAAAATTTTATATATTGTTAGTGCATATTTTATATATTTTAGTGCTTCATAAAATAAATTAAATGCTTTTATTTTTGTTTTTCTGTATATTTTAATACATTTTTATTTTAGTGCTTTCTTTTATATTTTAGTTCTTTCTTTTTTTAGTGCTCTGTTTAATTTTTGTATTTATTTTTTATATATTTTTTGTATATTTTTATTATTTAGTATTTTATATATATATAAATAGTCTTTTACTTTTCCCTAAAAGAAACACCAATTTTCATGATCTTTATTAGGGCTGTTCCACATAAACAATATAATTGCCCTCCAATAATTCTAAACTCCTATAATAATTATTGTGAATACCTAGCAATCACTCTCTCATGAGTTTCACTTTGTGATTTGGCTGTTTGTTTATACCCTTACAATATAATGATTTGCTTAGTGCTGAGTGTTAAGATGTCAGTAACACTCAAACCTGTTGACGTATGTCCCATGGCGATGTTATCTCTCTAGGGATTTACATTATACATGATATATCAATAAGGGCTGAAAGGTGTGAAAAACACTCTTACAAGCCCTTCTTGACTTTTCTTTTGAGAGATTTAAGAGAAAGAAAGAAGGTCTTGAGAGAAAGAATGACAGAGAGAAAATCTCACTCTAGTGGAATGTTAATGCAGATTTATTCATGGTGTCTGGGATTTGCTATGTTAGGCTGGAAAACTGAGGCTCTTCTCGTCTTCCCCCACTCAGACATGCTTATTGCTCAGTTATTGCTTGTTTTTTGCTACAGTCCATCTCGTCTACTTAGAGTTAATGTTGTCTCGCTGCCGTCTCAAGGAGGTAGTTTTGTTTTCTCCTTTTGCTAACAGACGCCAGTCCCTGCTTTCTCTGAGACATATAAACACTGTGCTTTGAAACCATTGGCTTTTTGACCCCTCAGTGATTTCAGTAATTTGTGCTTAATCATGAAGCTCTACAAAATAACAACACCCACTATTTTGTTGTTTGTCACCAACAACAGATGAACTTTATCCTCTTCATTTGTATCATTCGGATACTGCGGCAGAAGATCAACTGTCCTGACATTGGGAGAAATGAATCAAACCAATATTCGTAAGTATTCAGAACCCATTCAAAACATATTTTTGCATTCATATAAGATTAATTCTGTAATTTGTTCTCTTTTACCTCATCCTACTGAGAGGACCAGCATGAAATTTAAAGGGATAGTTCACACAAAAATGAAAATTATGTCATCATTTGCTCACCCTCATGTCATTCTAAACCCATATGACTGTGCAGCATCTTGACAAATGTGAATGAGATTCGAGAACTGCAGCGAAGGAGAAGATTACCTGTGACTATAATAGTGACTAAAATTTCTCAAAATATATTTTCCTCACTCAAAGCTATCATATGACTTCAGAAGACCTGGAATCTAGCAAATGAGTCTTATGGCCACTTTTATTATGATTACTTTTTTGCATTCTTTTTGAAGCTTGAAGTTTACATTATTTGTAATTGCATGGAATAGAGTGGAATCTTTCAGAGCTTTCATGCTGGTAGACCAGCCTGCAGCTAACCAGCAAAACCAGCAGAAAACAAAATTGGGTTTCAAACCAAAATTCTTGTTGGTTAAGATAGTTATGAAGTCTGACGGGGACACCAGCATCTAAAGCATAACTTCTGCTTTAGACCAACTATTCTGGTCTTTTCGGAAGGATGAGGACTGGAGGTACATGAGAAACATTTTAGCTTATGTAATTTTAACATGGGCATAAAATATGTGGATATTTTAGCTGGCCTCTCCAGCAGCAAGTGAGAACCCACTGCACTGCAATCTCATCATCTAAAATGTCACTGGCTCTCTCCGCACCTGTTCGGATGATTTAATGTCCTTTGTCCTTAAGTAGCTCTCCACTGTTCAGTTCGCACAAAACAAGACTAAATTCTTAAGCACCTGCAATTTTCTACCCAGCATCACTAATGTTGTTATTCCAGTAATATGCTTTTTGCTATCACCTGGTAATAATATCATTTGCAGCCCTGCACTGTGTGCAGGTTATGAATGACAGGAAAGTATCCCATAAAGCTATTTGTTATGTTTTTCTTCTTCTTCTTTTCTGTAGGAGGCTGGCAAAATCCACACTTTTGTTGATTCCACTCTTTGGGATAAACTTCATCATATTCGCTTTCATTCCTGAGAACATAAAAACTGAGCTAAGGCTTGTGTTTGACCTCATTCTTGGGTCATTTCAGGTACGTCTAAAGATTCACTGAGAATAATCGCTCAAACTAGTCGCTAAAAAAAACATAGTAGAGCCCAAATATCAGTAGTTGCCAGTGACAGGAAATGCTCTCAAGCTAATCGTAGCACTGTTGTTCAGATAGCAGAATAGTTTAATGATGTCTCGGTAGAACTGCTCAGGGCTCCTCAAACAGTCTCCATAGAGAATCTCTCTCTCACACACTTTAGCTATTGGCCATTGTTTTTTTTTAATGGCATAATTGGGTGTTTCCTCAACTGTGGCCACTTTTGCCCTGTGGATGTTTAGAAAATAAACTCTCTTATAAACACTTTTCACATTCTCACTAGTTTATTCAATTACATTTTTAAGGTCATGGACATTTCCACCACTTTGCGAATGATTTATTGTGTTTAAATTTTGTGTTGGAAATTGGTGAAAAATTACATACAAATTTTTTTTTTTAATTAAAATGTTTGCTCCTTTGTCTTGCTAAGGCATTTTAAACTAGCACATTTTTGTATCCTAAATACGAACAATAACACAAAATTTTCACTCTTTTTTGCATTAATAGAGCTTGATTAGAAAAGACAATTAATGTTAGTTAATGACAATTAAATAACAATGGACAATTCATTTGTTGCAGTATTTATTCATCTTCATGTTAACTAATGTTAACAAATGGAACCTTACTGTAAAAAGTTACCTATTTTGTTTTATGAAAATTTTTATTTCTCCTCATTAGATAAATACATTAACTTTTCAGAAAACTTTATTAGGGTAAAAAACCAATTGCGACAACTGTAGTCAGAGAGTCGTTAATTTTGAATATGTATTTAAACCATTTCCATACAAGAAATATTTAAATTATTTAATATTAAATTATTTATTGGAAAAATTATCTGAATATTAACAATCTGGGTCTGGGAAAAGAATAAAACAATCAAATCTATTTTTAACATTTTGACAAAAATGGCAAAAAAAAAAAAGGGGGGGAAAATATGAAGGCATGATAGAAGGTTTTCAAGACAGTTTCAAACGTGACCTTCATGTAACAAATTGGAAAAAAAGCCCTTGGGACAAAAAAGTGCCTCAATTCTTTCAAAACTTTCATAAGCAGAGCCACCAGAATGACTGCCATGAATTCAGGAAGGGTTTGTCCCCATTAGTTAAATATACTTATATGTGCTACAGGACACACCAACCCATATTTTTTAGGCCACAGTCATACTAGACAGTCTGGTAGGAATCTCTAGACATCTAGCATTACACATTCCTGTGCGTAATGCTTTGAATGAATGACCTTGTAATACTTTCATTGTATCTACAGTGGTATATGAGTAAGTTGCTTTCACTTGTTTTAACAGGGTTTTGTGGTTGCTGTACTCTACTGTTTCATGAATGGAGAGGTAAGGCACGGATGGATGAATAAACAGACAGAATCTTTAGGTGCACTCAGTCACA